TTTGAGAAATAGTTACAGAAGAGAGAGGGAGAAACAGAGTGAAAGGTCTTCCATCCACTGGTTCACTCCCCAAATGGCTGCAATGGCTGGAGTTAGGCCAATCTGAAGCCAGGAACTTCTTCCAGTTCTCCCATGCAGGTGCAGGAGCCTAAGCACTTGGGCCATCTTCGGCTTTCCCAGGCCATAAGCAGAGAGCTGGACTGGAAGAGGAGTAACTGGGACACGAACCAATGCCCATATAGGATTCTGGCACCACAGGTAGGGGCTTAGCTTACTATGCCACAGCACCGGCCCCTTAAATTATTTTTTAAAAAATCATCAGGATTTGAATGCATACTTACCGAAATTAATTTATTTTATAGTCAAAAAGACTATAATAAGTGTATTTAGAGTTCTTAAAGAACAAAAATGCCTATTAAAAATAAAATGGGGACAGGTATTTGATAAAACTATTAAGATGCTGCCTGGGATGCCTACATCCCATATTGCAGTTTCTGGGTTCAAGTCTTGGCTCTGCTTCCAATTCCAGCTTCCTGCTAATGCACACCCTGGGAGGCAGCAGGTAGTGGTTCAAGTCGTTAGGTCCCTGCCACCTGCATGGAAGACCTAGACTGGGTTCTGGCTTTGGCCTAAATTCCTGGCTTTGGCCTGCCTGAAACAGCTACTGTGAGTACTTAGAGACTGAACCAGCAGATGAAGTTTCTCTCAATTTCTCCCTTTCTCTGTCTCTCTGCCTTCCAAATACATTAAATATTTTAAAAATTCTTTCTTTCTTTCTTTCTTTCTTTCTTTCTTTCTTTCTTTCTTTCTTTCTTTCTTTCTTTCTTTCTTTCTTTTTTTTTTTTGACAGGCAGAGTGGACAGTGAGAGAGAGACAGAGAGAAAGGTCTTCCTTTTTTCCGTTGATTCACCCCTCAATGGCTACTGCTGCTGGTGCACCGCACCGATCTGAAGCCAGGAGCCAGGTGCTTCTCCTGGTCTCTCATGCGGGTGCAGGGCCCAAGGACTTGGGCCATCCTCCACTGCACTCCTGGGCCACAGCAGAGAGCTGGACTGGAAGAAGAGCAACCGGGACAGAATCCGGCGCCCCAACTGGGACTAGAACCGGGGGTGTTGGCGCGGCCACAGGCAGAGGATTAGCCTATTGAGCTGAGGCACCGGCTAAAATTGTTTCTTTAAAGTTGTAAAATGAAATTTAAACCACATTGCCAGAAACAAAATAAAGTCAAGTAGTTGTGAAAAATACTTTTAGAAGTGAAAAAAAGTCATTATATATATATACACACACACACACACATATATATATATAATAGTAATAAAATTCTCAAAGCTCAAGGGGCAGGGCTAGTGTTATGATGTAGCAGGAGAAGCCAACACCTGTGGGCACTGGTTTGAGTCTTGGCTTCTCACAATCCAGCTCTCTGCTATTACTGGAAAAGCAGTAGAGGATGGCCCAAGTGCTTGGACCCCTGCACCAGTGCTGGAGACCTGGAGGAGGCTCCAGACTCCTGGCTTCAGGTCAGCCCAGACCCAGTCATTGCAGTCATCTGGGGAGTGAACCAGCAGATAGAAGACTCTCTGTCTCTGTCTCTCTTTTTCTGCCTCTGCCTCTCTGTAACTCTGCCTTTTAAATTAATTAATTAATTTTTTAAAAAATAAAAAAACTCAAGGGGCAGGTGTTACATTACAGCAAATTAAGCTGCCACTTGGGATATGTGCTTCAAGTCTTAGCTGCTCTGCTTCAGATCCAATTTTTTTTTTAATTTTTATTTATTTGAGAGGTAGAATTACAGACAGTGAGAGGGAGAGACAGAGAGAAAGGTCTTCCTTCCGTTGGTTCACTCCCCAGGTGGCCGCAACGGCTGGAGCTGCGCTGATCTGGAGCCAGGAGCCAGGTGCTTCTTCCCGGTCTCCCATGCGGGTGCAGGGGTCCAAGCACTCGGGCCATCCTCCACTGCCTTCCCAGGCCACAGTGAAGAGCTGGTTTGGAAGAGGAGCAGCAGGGACTAGAACCGGCATCCATATGGGATGCTGGTGCTGCAGGCAGTGGACTAACCTACTGTTCCAAAGCACCGGCCCCAGATCCAATTTTGTGCTAATGTCCCTGGGAGGCAGCAGATAATGGCTCAACTGCTTGTATTCCGCCACCCGCATGGTAGACCCAGATGGAGATCCTGGCTCCTAACTGTGGCCTAAGCTGGCCCTGACTGTTACTGGCATTAGGGGAGTAAACCTCTGAATGGAAGATGTATTTCTGTCTCTCCCTGTCACTCTACTTTTCAAATTGGTTTAAAAATCTTTAAAAATTAAAAATTAGGGCCTGGCATCCCATATTGATGCTGGATCATGTCCTTTTGCTCCTCTTCTGATCCAGCTCTCTGCTTATAGCCTAGAAAAGCAGTAGAAGATGGCCCAAATGGTTGGGCTCCTGTACTTATATTGGAGACCTGGAAGAAGTTCCTGACTCCTGGCTTTGGATTGGCTCACCTCCGCCCATTGTGGCCATTTGGGGAATAAACCAGTGGATGGAAGTCCGTCCGTCCGTCCGTTCTTTCTTTCTTTCTTTCTTTCTCTCTCTCTTTCTCTCTTTCTCTCTCTCTCTCTCTCTCTCTCTCTCTCTCTCTCTCTGTCTATAACTGTACCTCTCAAATAAATTTAAAAAAAAATTCAATACCTTAGATATATTCTGAACTGCATGTAGTCAAAGAGAAAATTGTAAGTTAAGAGAATGAAGCACAGAAAGGAAAAATATTTGATAGATGAATTTAAATGTATGGATGGTTGGGTTGCATGTTGGGGCACAGTGAGTTAATCTGCCACTTGGGACACCCACACCCATATTGGGGTGCCAGGTTTGAGTTCCAGCTACTATACTTCTGATCCAACTTCCTGCTAATGAGCACGCTGGGAGACAGCAGATGATGGCTCAAGTACTTGGGTCCCTGCCACCAACACAGGAGACATGGACAGAGTTCTGAGCTCCTAGCTTCAGCCTGGCCCAGCTCTGGCTATTGTGGGCATTTGGGGAGAAAACCAGCAGATAGATCTTTCTCCATCTCTCCTAGGACGCTTACAGACCATGCTGGAATGCCAGTTCAAGTCTCTTGCTTTGCGATCCAGCTTTCTGCGGACGTGCCTGAGAAGGCAGCAGATGATGACTTAAGTACTTGGATCACCAACACCCACACAGGAGACCTGGATGGTATTCCTGGCTCCTGGCTTTGGCCTAGCCTAGCCCTGGCTGGGGAGTGAACCAGTGGATAGGCAATCTCTGTTTTCTCTGCCTTTCAAAAAAGTAATAAACAAAATCTTTTTCTAAAAAAAGATTGTATTTATTTATTTGAGAGGTAGAGTTACAGAGAGAGGCAGAGAGAGAGAGTCTTCTGTCCACTGGTTCACTCCCCAGATTGTTGCAGTGGCTGAAGCTGAACCGATCCGAAGCAGGAGCCAGGAGCTTCTTCCAGGTCTCCCATACAGGTATAAGGGCCCAGGCAATTGGGTGATCATCCACTGCTTTCCCAGGCCATAACAGAGAGCTGGATTGGAAGATTAGCAACAGGGACTAGAATCAGTGCCTGTATGGGATCCCAGTGCCACAGGTAAAGGCTTAGCCCACTGTACCACAGTGCCATCCCCAATAAAGTCTTAAAAAAATAAAATAACGACAACTGCATGAAGCATAAATTTTCCTCTGTTAGATTGAGAAAGATCAAAAAGTTTTGAGGACCCTGTGTTGCCAAAGGGAAGTGGCAAGAGACATCCACAGAGTTTCATTCATGGACCTAGAGCTTAGTGCATCCTCTTTGGAACAATTTTTCAAAACTCCAAATACAAGTGTTCTGTAAAACTTTCCCTACAGAAAATTATCTTATAGACATATTCTTTCAGACAAGATCAAACATTTGTACAAGGTTGTTCATTGCACTTTATTTATAATAGCAGAAGAATAAAGCATCCTAGGTGTCCATTCAGATGCAGCCAGAGAAAAGAAGGAAGCTGTCTGCATATTCACATAGAATGATCCAGAATATATGGGTTCATGAAAAAAATTAAATTACATAATATTGTGTGTATATTGCTAGCATTTAAGGAAGAATGTTTAAACATATATGCTTATATCTGCTAAAATATCTGTGGAAGTTTATTACATGTTTCTGAAGAAAGGGGGCCAGAAAAACAGTTGACAGGAGGAAAACTTCATTTTAAGTTTTTTGGGGAACTTTTTTACTACCTTTTGAATTTTGGAGTACGACTATATTACCTATTTAAAAGTATTTTGTAAAATAAAAAGCTGAACAGTAGTTCAAGAATACTCATGGCATCAGAAAATATGCACAAAATCATAATGTCCATCAGCAGCAAATTGTGATCAAGCCATCCAGTGAAATACTTGAGCTCAGTTAAAATGAGTGATTTTCATGCCAACATTTTTCTAATTAAGAAAATGAACCTTGGCCGGCACCGCAGCTCAATAGGCTAATCCTCTGCCTAGCGACACCGGCACACCAGGTTCTAGTCCCGGTCGGGGCACCGGATTCTGTCCCGGTTGCCCCTCTTCCAGGCCAGCTCTCTGCTGTGGCCAGGGAGTGCAGTGGAGGATGGCCCAAGTCCTTGGGCCCTGCACCCCATGGGAGACCAGGAGAGAAGCACCTGGCTCCTGCCTTTGGATCAGCGTGGTGCGCCGGCCGCAGCAGCCATTGGAGGGTGAACCAACGGCAAAGGAAGACCTTTCTCTCTGTCTCTCTCTCTCTCACTGTCCACTCTGCCTGTTTAAAAAAAAAAAAAAAAGAACCTTAGACAATGAAGTCTTTACAATTATTGCGCATCCTAAGGATCCTGGTAGCCATGGAACTCCCCTGGCACAATCCTGTTTGTCCCATTGGTACCAGAGCACCTCCTAAACCCTCCCGCAGAACTCAGAATTCCGCTCAAATGCAGAATACTCTTCCCAGTGGCCAGCAGATTTTGTCTTGTCTATATCTGTGCCATCTTGTGTTCCAGGGATGTTGGTGGTAAATGTGACATGGAGGAACAAGACCTATGTAGGTACCCTTCTTGACTGCACACGGCATGACTGGGCGCCCCCAAGGTAAGCTCTGAGCTGCTCTGTTTACGGAGTCTGAACTAGAGTCAGCGAGCCCTGTATCAGCATCCTGCTGCACTTTTACACTTGGCTTTTACAGGACAGTGCGCCTCAGAGACAAGGGAAGGCATATAGTTATCTAGCATTCAAGAGCAATATGTAAATCGTGTGTCAGAGTGTTAGGGGTGGGGTGTGAGTTAGGGAATGGGGAGGAAATCCCATTTAAGGCTTTGTATCTGGAGCTGTTAAATGCTGGCTTCTTCCTGATGAAACATTGAGACCAAGACCATAACATCTCAACTATGAATGAACGAATATTCATTGATGTAGCTTTTTGACAATAGTAGCTATTTCTCACAAATTTAACTTCAAGAGCATTTTCCATTTATAAATTTTATTAGACCATATGATCTTCATATGGTCTTTTTTTTTAAAGATTTATTTATTTATTTTGAAAGAGTTACGGAGGGAGAGGGAGAAGGAGGGAGGGAGGGAGGGAGGGAGGGGGCTTCCATCCGCTGGTTTACTCCCCAGTTGGCCGCAACAGCTGGAGCTGCGCTGATCCAAAGCCAGGAGCCAGGAGCTTGCTCCAGGTCTCCCATGCGGGTGCAGGGGCCCAAGGACTTGGGCCATCTTCTACTGCTTTCCCAGGCCATAGCAGAGAGCTGGACCAGAAGTACAGCAGCCAGGACTTGAACTAGCGCCCATGTCAAATGCTGACACCGCAGGTGGCGGCTTTACCTGCTACGTTGCAGCACTGGCCCCTTCATACTGTCTTTGTTAGACCATATGATCTTTTCATAGAGACCTTCTCAAGTCGCAATTTGACCTTAAGATTGACATTTCAGTCCAAGGTACCTTACAGTTTGTTACTAATATTAGTGCTCAATTTGCTAGGGTTTGGGGAACCCAAATATTGGAGAATAATTTACCACCAGCATGCAGATAGCATCCTAGGGATTCACCATGTGGTGCAGTTCCCACATTTGTAAGTCCTTTTAACAAATCATATTCATTCAAATTGGTAGTTAACATTTTATTTTATTTTTTAAAATATTTAAAGATTTATTTATTTATTTGAAAAAGAGAGACAGAAAGAGACAGAGATCTTCCATCCACTGGTTTACTTCCCAAATGGCTGCAACAGTCACGGCTGGGCCAGGCCAAAGCCAGGAGCCTGGAACTCCATCAGGGTTTCCCACGTGACCACAGGGGCCCAAGAACTTGGGCCGGGAAACTGGGCAGAAGTAGAGCAGCCACGACATGAACTGGCACTCATATGGGATGCTGGTAGCAGCTTAACCTGCTGCATCACATCATCAACCCCAGTAGTTGCAATTTTAGGAAGATGCTTTTTTTAAGATTGGGGGGGGGGGGGGGCAACATTGTAGCATAGCAGATTAAACTGCCACCTGTGACTCCAGCATCCCAAATGGGCACCAGTTTGAGTCCTGGATGTTCCACTTCCTATCCAGCTCCCTGCTAATGTACCTGAGGAAACAATGGAGGGTGGTCCAAGTATTTGGGCCCCTGCACCCACATGGGAGACCCGGATGAAGCTCCTGGTCCCTGGCTTCTGCCTGGCCCAGCACTGGCTCTTGCATCCATTTGTGGAATAAACTAGCAGATGTAAGATCTATTTCTCTCTCTCCTTCTCTCTGGCTCCCTCACTCTCTGAAATAAATAAATATAAAAAATAAAAACAGTATTAAACGATGTATCTATTTATTTGAAAGGCAGTTACACTGAGAGAGACAGAGAGAGATCTTCCATGTGCTGGTTCACTGCACTGCCTAAGTGGCTACAAGGGCTTGGTCTGGGCCTAAAAAAAAAGCAAAGAACCAGAAACTCCATCCACATTCTCCCACATGAGTGGCAGGGGCCCAAGTACTTGGGCCATCTTCTGCTGTAACCTGGGAGGCAGCAGTAATTGAGTAGTTGGGGTCTCATCCATGTGGAAAACCTGATTTGGGTTACTGGTTCTCAGGTTGGGACAAATGTCATCCACAGCGACATTTGGGGCGCGAACCAACAGAGAGGAGCATGTTCTCTCTCTCTGCATCTTAGATAGACAGGTGGATACATAAATGCATGCATATGTACACAAATACATACTTACACAGATAAATAAGAACCCTTTACCTGCTCATTGTCCCATCAAAGATGGACAGGAATACCCCAAGGAAAAGTTCCTTAAAGTTCTTGACTCCATACCAGATTCATTTTTAAGATGTGATTATGCTCTACCTAGGGATTTGTGGTAATGCCTCCTAGTTTTCAGAGATTCTGAACCAGGTCTCTTGAGACTTGGAATATTTGAAGACTATATTCAGTATACTTACAAGTAACCCTGATAAGATTCAAAAACAGGTGAGCTAAGACCAGTTCATTACATCCTGTCCTTGCATTTTTGAGAAACCTACTGAAAGGACTTCTGCTCTGGATATCTAAGAATCCAGAGATACCAAAACTGAGTGACTAGGAGATGACAGGGAAATAGTAGACTCACACTACCACAGTGGCAGGGACCCAAAGGAGGTATGTGACAGAATTGACCTTTTTTCTACCATAGCTGTGGCTTCCACTGCCTTAGAAGCAACCTATTCCGGTTGCCCCTGGAACAAGAGAGTCAAACTCATCTTCAGCTCTGCAAAGGAACCCCCTTTTAGCTCCGGGTTTAATCCCAAATAGTGACTAAGCTCCATGAAGAGCAACCTTTGGGCCATCGCAGAATGACGCTTGGGGCAAATCTCCAGACATTCAAAGAACGCATGTACTATGGTCTGTCATATTTAGGACATGGATATGGGCCGCTTAATGGGTGGGTGCTTTGTTCTGCCTTTTTCCTTTGTGGTAAATTGTGTAGAGTAAAAAGCATTGAGCTAGATTCGGGTTACAATGTGACTTGGGCAAGTCACTTAGCGTGCCTGGCCACGGTTTCCTAGTTATCTGTAGAGTCGTTTCTGGAACCATGACTGTGGCTGTATATGGAAACGCAGACATGACCGCTCTGTGCACTGTGGGACATTCTGCACAGCTTCAGAAGCTGAGCATTGGGGAGCGGCATAACCAGCGTGCAGATAGCACAGTAGGAGCTCACCGCTTAATGCAGTGGCCACACAGTCAGAAATGCTTGTAATAGACCGTGTTCACTGAGAATGGTAGTCACCATCTGGAGAGGTCGGCGAGAGGCTGCAGCTAAACTGGTTTGAAGATGTTGTCTCTTCTTAATAATACCCTGTTGTGTTTGTCCTTTGCCAAGGTTCTGTGACTCCCCCACCAGTGACTTGGAAATGCGCAATGGGCGGGGTCGAGGCAAACGCATGCGTCCCAACAGTAACACACCTGTCAATGAGACAGCCGCTGCTTCTGACAGCAAAGGGACTAGCAGCAGCAGCAAAACCCGAGCGGGAGCCAACAGCAAAGGCCGTCGGGGCAGCCAGAATTCGTCAGAGCATCGCCCACCTGCCAGCAGCACTTCGGAGGATGTCAAGGCCAGCCCTTCCTCGGCTAATAAGCGAAAAAACAAGCCCCTCTCAGACATGGAGCTGAATTCCAGCTCAGAGGACTCCAAAGGGAGCAAGCGTGTCCGGACGAATTCCATGGGCTCAGCCACTGGCCCCCTCCCTGGGACCAAGGTAGAACCCACTGTTGTGGACAGAAATTGTCCCTCCCCGGTCCTGATTGACTGTCCCCACCCAAACTGCAACAAGAAGTACAAGCACATCAATGGGCTTAAGTACCACCAAGCTCATGCCCACACGGATGATGACAGCAAGCCGGAAGCAGACGGGGACAGTGAGTATGGGGAGGAGCCCAGCCTCCACGCAGACCTCGCCGGCTGCAATGGCGCAGCGCTGTCACAAAAAGGTTCCCTGTCCCCTGCCCGCTCAGCTACCCCCAAAGTTCGGCTCGTAGAGCCCCATAGTCCTTCTCCTTCAAGCAAATTCAGCACAAAAGGCCTCTGTAAGAAAAAGTTGAGTGGGGAAGGGGACACAGACCTCGGGGCCTTATCCAATGACGGCTCTGATGACGGGCCCTCGGTCATGGATGAAACAAGCAATGATGCCTTTGACTCTTTGGAAAGGAAGTGTGTAGAAAAAGAAAAATGCAAAAAACCGTCTGGTTTGAAACCTGAAAAGATTCCTTCCAAGAGCTTGAAGTCCGCCCGGCCCATTGCCCCTGCCATCGCCCCACAGCAGATGTACACCTTGCAGACGGCTGCCTTCACTGCAGCCAACCCAGGCCCCTCCGCGGGCCTCACCGCCACCGTGGTCCAGGCCGTGCCCAGCAGTCCCCAGCTCAAGCCCATTCAGCCCAAGCCCACGGTCATGGGAGAACCGTTCACGGTCAACCCTGCCTTGACTCCAGCCAAGGACAAGAAGAAGAAAGACAAAAAAAAGAAGGAGTCTTCAAAGGAACTGGAAAGTCCCCTGACTCCGGGGAAGGTGTGTCGCGCAGAGGACGGCAAGAGCCCCTTCAGGGAATCGTCGGCAGATGGGATGAAAATGGAGGGGCTCCTCAATGGCTCGTCAGACCCCCACCAGAGCCGCCTCGCTAGCATCAAGGCTGAGGCTGACAAGATCTACAGCTTCACGGACAATGCCCCCAGCCCTTCCATCGGAGGCGGCAGCCGCCTCGATAGCACTACCCCCACCCAGCCCCTGACTCCCTTACACGTGGTGACGCAGAACGGAGCCGAAGGCAGCTCCGTCAAGACCAACAGCCCTGCCTACTCCGACATCTCTGACGCTGGGGAGGACGGGGAGGGCAAGGTGGACAGCGTCAAGTCGAAGGACTCTGAGCAGCTGGTTAAGGAAGGGGCTAAGAAGACGCTGTTCCCCCCCCAAGCTCAGAGCAAAGAGTCGCCGTACTACCAAGGCTTCGAGAGCTACTACTCTCCAAGCTACGCGCAGTCCAGCCCAGGGGCCCTGAACCCCGGCAGCCAGGCAGGAGTGGAGAGCCAGGCCCTGAAGACAAAAAAGGATGACGAGCCCGAGAGTCTGGAGGGGAAGGCGAAGAGCGACGGCTGCGAGGAGAAGAAGCCCGAGCTGAGCAGCTCCAGCCAGCAGCCCTCGGTCATCCAGCAGCGGCCCAGCATGTACATGCAGTCCCTGTACTACAACCAGTACGCCTACGTGCCGCCCTACGGCTACAGCGACCAGAGCTACCACACCCACCTGCTGAGCACCAACACGGCCTACCGGCAGCAGTACGAAGAGCAGCAGAAGCGGCAGAGCCTGGAGCAGCAGCCGCGGGGACTGGACAAGAAGGCAGAGTTGGGCCTGAAGGAGCGGGAGGCGGCCCTCAAGGAGGAGTGGAAGCAGAAGCCGTCGGTTCCCCCGACTCTCACCAAGGCCCCCAGCCTGACAGACCTGGTGAAGGCGGGGCCCGGCAAGGCCAAGGAGCCCGGGGCGGACCCTGCCAAGTCGGTCATCATCCCCAAGCTCGACGACTCCTCCAAGCTCCCCGGCCAGGCCCCGGAGGGCCTTAAAGCGAAGCTGAGTGAGGCCGGCCACCTAGGCAAGGAGGCCACCGAGGCTAAGACAGGTGCCGAGTGTGGCCGGCAGGCAGAGGTGGATCCGATACTCTGGTACCGACAGGTAAAGCGTTGCCCTGGGAGGAAGTGGGACTGCTGTTCGCCAGGCCTTCCGCTCCCTCCCCACTCAGAGCTCCGTGGAACTGAGATTGGCAGGAGAGGGACACAGCTGTAGCTGTCCCGGGCTTTTATAAACCACGTCAGTGTGTGCCTACACAGAAAAGGTGACTGTCGCGAGTGATAAGAAAAGCAGGGCCAGTCCTCAAACCCACCATCTCTCTCCATAGTCTGATGCTTCCTCCACTGCTGGGCTCCTGAGGACTGTGTCAGTGGGGGTCTCTCCCTGGCTTAGAATAAGAGAGTAGGTCAAAAGTAGAGTTGGCAGTTACTGTGTTTCTTCAGAAAGGATTTCCCTGGTAGAGTTGGAGCCGAGAGCTTGGGAGTCTCCACACCTGGCTGTGCTGGTGAGACTTGGAATGTCTGCCTTCCTCCTTGGGGCACAGCTGGACCTCCCTCTGACGTGGGCGGCAGCTTCCCACCCTGAGCCTGCGCTGAAGGAACGAAGCCGTCAGAGCCTCTTGGGAGGAGCCAGGCTCTGCCGCTGTAGCAGTCATTTCCCAGAATGCTTGTCCTCTGACGCGCTCTCCTTTTCTCTCCGGCATCTTTTTCCCTTTGGCGTGGGGAGGAGGGAAGAGGGGTCTCCCTCTCTCTCTCTCTTTTTTTTTTTTTTTTTTTTTGTAAGATTTATTTATTTACTTGAAGATTTCTTCCACCTGCTGGTTCACTCCCGGAGTGGTCACAACCGCCAGGGCTGAGCCAGGCACTTCATCTGGGACTCCCTCATGGGTGGCAGGGACCTAAGCACTGGGCCATCTTCTGCTGCTTTTCCCAGGCCATGAGCAGGGAGCTGCATCAGAAGTGGAGCAGCCAGGACATGAGCTGGCACCCAGTATGGGATGCTGGCATCACAAGTGGTGGCTTTACCTGGTATCCCCACGATGCCCCAGAGGAGACTTTTTAAGCAGGAGGGACCAGAGTTAGACTAGAGAGGAGGCCACGATCCTCTTGTGCCCCATGTCGTTACCGGCTATGGTGTTTGTGCCGGGACTGTTACCTGTGCGACACTCAGCCCTCATTCTGTGATTGCTGTAGGAGGCAGAGCCCCGGATGTGGACATATGTTTATCCTGCCAAGTACTCCGACATCAAGTCAGAGGATGAACGGTGGAAGGAGGAGCGGGATCGCAAATTGAAGGAGGAAAGGAGTCGGAGTAAGGACTCTGTCCCCAAGGAGGATGGGAAGGAAAGCACAAGTAGTGACTGCAAGCTGCCCACGACTGAGGAGTCCCGCCTTGGGAGCAAGGAGCCCCGGCCAAGTGTCCATGTGCCTGTGTCCTCCCCCCTCACCCAGCACCAGTCCTACATTCCCTACATGCACGGCTACTCCTACAGCCAGTCCTATGACCCCAACCACCCCAGCTACCGGGGCATGCCTGCTGTGATGATGCAGAACTACCCAGGTACAGCACCGCAGGGCCAGCTGCTGTCTGTTCACCGGGCCGGGAGATGACGCAGAGTTCAAATCCAGAGGTTTCTGCTCAGCCCTGGAGGCTCACTGGGGCTCGCCTAGATGACAGCCCTTTTCTGAATGTGTCGTTCTGTGAATTGGCCACTATAACCCATAGCTCCTTGGATGACCCCCAGTCAGTGTGTGGGGCCACCTCCCCTCCATTGCTCCAGCTAGAAGGCTTCCTCTACAGTCTGCAGTGCGCTAGGCACTGTGGGTGATACAGACGAGGCGGGGAAGGCTAGTTCCCTCCACCCAAGGAGCTCACAGTGTACAGCGAGAGAGACCTGTGGGCCAAGTGAAGTTCAAACCAGAACAATGGTGTGTTCAGCTGCACCATAAGAAAGCAGGCAGAGCTGGGCAGCGCAGTGTGAATTGGATTGGTGGGGAGTCCGGCTGGGCACCTTGGGAGAGAGCAGCTGTTCCCGCGGCTGCTGGAGGTTTCTTTAGGGTGGGGAGGCACGCAGGATGCTCCCGGGGTGGCGGGACATGTCCTTCCCCACACCTTGCAGCAGCCTTGACCAGAAGACCCTGTTAGAAGGCAGACTCAGTAGAACAAGTGTTTTTCAAATGATGTGGGGAATTGCCTTACCCTGGTGGTACCCCTTTCTGTCTCGTCAGCTCTCCCCATCTGCCAACAGTAAGTCCCATTCGTGGCGTGCTTGCCATGGCTCAGGCACCGTGCTGGTGATCTGTGCACAGTTTTAATCCTCACCACCGTGTGAAGTAAACATTGATGTCCTCCCTTTGATCCTGGAGAAACGGAAGCTCAGAATGGCTGTGAATTTGCTCAGGGTGACCCGGCTAGTGATTTTCAGAGGCGTCACAGGGCCATCTGACCCCAATTGCTACTTCATTATTTCACCTCTCCAAGATGAATCTGTTGACACTGGTCAACAGTGGCTCTGGGATAGCTGGCCACAGGAACTGAGGGCCATTTTCCTAATAGCCCTTAGCTAATTTTTCCTGCAGAGCTCAGTACAGAAAGCACAAGCCACTAATCTCAGCCCAAAGTCTCAGCCCGAGCCCAGGATCACTGACCCCTGCGTAACAAGCTCGCTGAAGCTGAATTCCCATCTCCCGTGTCTGAATCGCTTCATTCGTCCTCCTCCAGGTTCCTACTTGCCTTCCAGCTACTCTTTCTCCCCGTATGGCAGCAAGGTCTCAGGTGGCGAAGACGCTGACAAGGCGCGAGCCAGCCCCAGTGTCAGCTGTAAAGCCAGCTCTGAGTCCAAAGCCCTGGACATCTTGCAGCAACACGCCAGTCACTACAAGAGCAAGTCTCCCACGGTAAGGGAAGTGCGTGCGCACTGGCGGCTAGCCAGAGGCAGCGCCAAGGGCTGGGGGAAGGTGGGAAGTTCAGGTTCAGACCTCAGTGGAGCTGGGCTGACCTGAGATGGCCCCACCAGAGCATCGCCTTGATCCCCTTTTTTTTCTTAAGATTTATTTATTTATTTGGAAGACAGAATGACAGAGAAGCAGAGGCAGAGAGAGAGAGTTCTCCCATTCTCTAGTTCACTCCCCAAATGGCCGCAGTGGCCAGAGTTGAGCTAGTCCGAAGCCAGGAGCCAGGAGCTGGGTCTCCGGGTCTCCGGTCTCCCACACGGGTGCAGGGGTCTAAAGACGTGGGCCATCTCCCACTGCTTTCCCAGGCCATTAGAGAGCTGGATCCGAAGTGGAGCAGCCAGGACCTGAACCGGCGTCCAAATGGGAAGCTGGCACTGCAGGCCGTGGCTTTACCCGCTACACCACAGCGCTGGCCCTGCCTTGACTCTTCTGTGTCCTGTAGGATTAAGGAGTGATAATATGAGACCGAGCCACCTCTCTGGGGTGGGGGTGTGTCTCACTATAGTGCTTTTGTGTGTCTGCTTTCCTTTCCAGATAAGTGATAAAGCTTCTCAGGAGAGAGATCGGGGAGGCTGCGGGGTAGTTGGGGGTGGTGGCAGCTGTAGCAGCGTCGGGGGAGCAGGCGGGGGTGAACGCAGCGTCGACCGGCCCCGCACTTCTCCTTCCCAGCGCCTGATGTCCACACACCACCACCACCACCACTTGGGGTACTCACTGCTCCCAGCACAGTACAACCTACCCTATGCAGCAGGTAAGCCTGTTCCCCTGCCTCCTGCACCCCAGTAGTAGAGCCCGAGCCCACAGCCATCACCGCCACTGCCTCTCCCTGCCAGGAGTGTTTTCTTTTTTGAGCTTCTGATCCGTCCCAGCTAGTCTCCGGTCAAGTTAGCCGTCTAACAATTCATTCCTTCCCTCGGGCTTGGGAACTCCAAGATGCCTCCAGAGTACTGGCTTTGATGTACAGAATAAGGACCAGAGAGCAATGAGGAGCCTTGCCATCTGTCCCCAGCCTCTGTAAACGGCCAGGTTTCAGAGTTGGCCTCTGCTGGCACCCCGAAACTCAGTGGAGGTGGGCATTGAAGGGGCAGCTCCTGCCACGCCCGGCTGGCTCTCAGCAGGTGCACAGTGGCAGGCTTCTCCGAGTGCTGCCCTAACACGTTCTCCCGCTCGCTCCAGCAGGGCTCTCTTCTACCGCCATTGTTGCCAGCCAGCAAGGCTCAACCCCCTCGCTCTACCCACCCCCCAGGAGGTGAGAATGGTAAGTAGCTTTTGTTCACTGGGGCGACACAGAGCAGGGATAGCCGCTAGAAAGGATCCTTGTGGAGCCTCCCCTGAAGTCTCCCTTGGAGCCCAGATGTCCCCCAGGAACCAGTACTGGCCTCCCCGGCAGTTCCTCTTACTTGGAGCGCCACCTTGTGGTTGGTCTACCCGCAGGCTGAGTGCCTGGTTACCTGTCCACGTTTCTCTTGCAGAACACCAAGTGCCCGGATAAAGTCAGCTTCACGGGCCCGGACTGGCTCACACAAGGAGGTGCTGGAGGTGCCATTTAGACATCAGTTAAATGGTGTTGATCATCCTGTTTGCCGTTTCCACTGCGACCGAAGGCAGGCCCTTGGCTGTCTCGCCTCTACCAGACCCTTGGACTCCCCGACCCTCCCTCTTCCTCAGGAGCTGGCAAGCTGGTACTTAGCGAAATATTTATTCTCTCGGCCACAGTCAAGACTGTTGTGGCCTCTGTGGAGATGAAGGCATGGGGAGTAGCCAGGGGAATATGGCCTCAGCCCAGAGGAGTCACTGCTCTGTTCCCCAAAGCCAGGTCTGCTGCCATGGCAGTGCCGCCCTCCCCCGCCCCCAGGAGGGACCTCCAGGTACTGCGTAATGCTGAAGACAGCACAGCAGCCATACCCCTCTCACCGTCGTCACCACCACCAGACCCTGCATCTCCCCAGTGGTCTGGGCCCTGGGCATTGGCAGCACGTGGAGGAATTAGAATCTCAGGAAAGAAACCGGGGGTTGTTTTCCCTATTGTGAAAACAAGGTCTTCAAACACGGAGACTTCTCCCTCTTACATGAGCACATGTAAACGCTCAGAGCCCAGCCTGGGAAGGAAGACCAAGGCGTTTGTCCCACCACGGCCTTGAGCTCCCTGCCAGGCAGAGGGCAGGGGTCCATCACCAGCACAGGGCTCTCCAGGGATTCTGGGAGTACGCCGGGCTGGAACATGGAGTCTGTGAAGTAGAAGCTGCATCCCCCTACGAAGTCCTGCTGCTTCTTTCCCCAACTCCTCGCCCTGTTCTCTTCCCTCCTAACCCCTTGGAGCCTTTCCCAGGGGACCCCCACACTGCCCTCCCCGCTTCTTTTCCATTGCTTGGCCCTTAAGACTCAGGCAGGTCACGTGGTCTTTTCCCCAGCACTGGGGACCCTCAGAGTTTGCCGGGTCACCTGAGGGCAAGGCCCCAGCAGTGTCCACTTGACCATCTGAGTGTCTTCCTCACTTAGGGCCACAGACGCAGAGAATCCAGTTCCTGTCTGCAAACACGCGATTTTATATAGCCCAATCGATAACCCCCATGTGTGCCAATAGAAGCCGTGTTCGTGACACACATTTTTGTTTTAGGGGCCACGGCCATGGGAGGTTATTTATTCCTTAGACCTGGGAAAACCACCTAGAAGCGTTACTCATCGAGTGCACAGCGCGCTCAGCGGATCTGTGCCCCGCGGCGGCGGACGGGCCTGCGGGTCTGCGGGCCTGCGGGCTGCGGGTCTGGCCCACCGTGGAGGTGCAGCTGCCGCCCGCCCGAGCTTGCTGCTCCGTGCTGGGAGAGTGCTGGTTCGGAAGCTTTCCTGGAGTCACTTCCTCCCCAGGGCGTGGGGAGCTTTCGCTCCTACTCTGCTTTTGAGGTGTCAGCCCTTCCCTCTCCTCCCCTCCCGTCTTTCCTGGACCCTCTGGGTTGAGACAGAGCTCACGAGTGACAGACACCAGCTAGGCTAAACAAGAGCGTTTATGTCCAGAGTGCCAAAGCGGCTAAGAGAAGGAACTTGGCTCTGATTCACTCTGGAGCGGGGCAGGCGGGGGACAGTAAGCACAATGCCCAGTAGGGGGCGGTCTCTATGAACCTAAAGCCCTATCAGAGACCGACTTAGGGACGTTTTTCCAAGGGGAACCCCTCCGACCCATGGCCCTTCCTATAGGTTTCCATTCAAGTTGGGTTCTGAGTCCTCCCAAAGAACCCATTGTTTTAGACCTCGCGACAGCCCCCAGGAAGCTTCCGTCACACGTCGCCCCTCTGCCTGCTGCCCGTGAGCAGCAACTTTCGCCCCTCACTTCCCCTCTCCTGAGGCAGCCCTGCCAAGAGGGAAACTGAATTTCAGCCCGATTTGCCCTCCCAGGCTCCTGTGGGGCGGAGGCAAGGCCCGTCTACGTTCCTGTTTGTTTTAAATACTGTCGTGTGTTCTGTACTACCTGTGGCACTGGCCTGCAGCGTGCTCTGTACATATTGTAAAGAAACTGTCGGGAGTGATCCTCTGTCTCCCTGGGCAGGCGCGGCCCCACCTCCCCGCCCTTTCCGCTTTGTTCTCTGGAGAGGAGGAGCTTCTGTATTCGCAGGGCAGCCTTGGGTTCTGCGGAAGGGAACCGCTTTTCTTTTCCCTTAAAAACATTTGGCTCTTTGATCCTTACACCCAAGCCCCCCTTGAGGAGTCAGAGATGCCCAGCAGAGCAGGCAAAAGTGCCCGTGGCCCAGCGGCGGTCCTTTCCCAGGGACCCCCACCTGGATCCCTTCACTGTTTCCGGGAGGGGCCCGGCTTCCCTCTGTGAAATGACAGGAAAGCAGCGACAGCAACCTGAGGGTCCTTGACAGTGCCGAGTCCACCCCAGGCTCTGCTCCACATGGGGAGGGGACACTTAGGTGCGGGCGACCTCTGGCACCCACCATCAGAGGGATGTGACACTCAGCAGGGATCCCCGCCCCACAAGCCACGTCTGCACAGGTTTGCTGCTAAGGGCCCAGACCCAGCCTCTCTCTCAGCCACACCTGCTGCTCCTTGGGCTCCCCATGGAAAAGAAGCGAAAGGGACGTGCGCCTCCTCCCCAGGGAGGCTAGCCAAGGCCTGGATCGCGCCTCTTCGGGATTCACGGCGACTTTGCCCTCATTGAAGGTGTGCCAGTTCCCTGCGTCCCCTTCCTCTCCCTTGTACATGTGAATGTACGTGGACGAGATGTCCTTCTTACCCCCTTCTCTCCACACATCTCAAGGTCAAAAGAAACACACAAAAGGCTGAGGTCACCCCGTGAAATCAAATGGTGATTTCCTGAGTCTCTTCTCTGCAGGCTCCGAAGCAGGGGTGGGAGGACTTAGCTTCGGGAGTTAGGAGATAAGACTGCAGAAGGGCTAGAGAATTCTTGTACGTGGCTTTGAGGCCACCCCTGTCACTTACTAACCCACATAACCTAGTCACCACCCAGATGTCTACTCTGATGCCCCAAGATTTAACTGGGCAGCTAGTCGGCCTCGTAATTCTGGGCCTTCGTCATTTGTTTTATTACCAGGGCATCCCAGGAAGCTCCCCAGTGATCCCCTGCCATGGGCCCCTCCTGGGATCAAGCCCCTCCCAGGCCCTGTCCCCAGCCCCTCCTGCCCCAGCCCCCCCGCTTGCCTTGGTGCTCAGCCCTCCCACTGGGAGCAGGTTGGGGCGAGCTGGAGGCCCGGGCTGGAGGGGCAGTGTTGTTGTTCATAGCTTTTGTTCCATTGGTGTTGCTCTGTTGGATTTAATTTCAGTCTTCCTGATTCTTCCCTTCTGTAAAGTGTACATTACCAAGTTCCTTGTTTTTTATATATATATATAAATATATATATATACAAACTGTACTCTTTTTGCCTTTGTACATTCAGGCAAGAAGAGAAAATAAATCTTTTTAAGAGACAATCAAAAATCTGTGAGGGCTGCTGGTTATTTCTCCTGGGGTTTGCTGCTGAGCTGCCGCCTCCCGTCCCCACCTGTCCTCTCCCTAAGCCCCTGCTCCTGCCCCTGCTCCACGTGCGTCCTCAGCTTCTTCCCTGGCTGACAGCAAGTCGTTGAACCGGCGTCCGGACTGCCTGCCCGCAGCCCTTTCCTGCCCATCACTGTTCGCTGGCTCAGTCCGGGAGCTCTGTCCTGCGCCCCAGCCTGCCTTCCCCTCACCTCTAGATCCCATTCACCGAAGTGGCTTAGGACCCCTGGGAACCCTGACCCATCGTCCAGAGGCCCTGCTTTGGACACGAGCCTGTGTAACTATGCAGCTGGGAGCTCTCTGCCCAAGAGTTTGCACTACTTAGACCTGCCTGGTGTTCAGGATGGATGGCTTTTAGGAAACTACCCCCACACTCCTCCCCCGCCCTTACATCCAGCCTACAGAGTGCCTGATCCAGAGCCCAGCGGCTCGCTCACTGGCTCATTCAGGGCCGGTGGACTGCTACAGTTACCCCTCAGAACCAGGGCTAAGGGCGGATGGGTCAAGCGCGTCTGCTCAAACTCCAAAGGGTGATGCGTCCGAAACAGCCCCACCATTGTCGGGCCGCTTCCTCTTCCCGCCCCTTCCTCCTCCTCCGTCCTCTTCTCACCACTCCCTCTTCTTAACTGGCTTTGGAATTGAAATATATTTTTAAATTATTTGTTGTATTTATTGAATAAAGTTTTTAATGTCCCTGTTCTTAAATTTAGACTTAGTTTGCCTTTCACGTACCTCTCCTGTCTCACTCCCCCACCCCACAAAATGTTCTGAGTTGTTTTTAGTTGGAGCACAGCCTTTGAGTGTGCCTTTCCTGTCAGTGGTCTTCAACAGCACAACTCTATGAAAGGGAAGCCTTGACTGGGTGCTGGGTGTCAGTTCAGTCCTCCTACCTCTGGCTGCACTGAAGGGGAGCCACCAACAGATGGCAGCAGAGTCTCAAGTGTGTTTCTCTGAGGGATTGGGCGGGGGAGTTAAAGGACTGAGTTTTGTCTTGGTCCTTCAAGATTTATTTTAATTTGTTTCTTTGAAAGAGTTACAGAGAGAGGGAAGGAGGAGAGACAGAGAAAGAGCTCTTCCATCCATTGGTTCACTCCACAGATGACTGCAACAGCCAGGACTGGGCCAAGCTAAAGCCTGAAGCTGCTTCATCTAGGACTCCAATGTGGGTGGCAGGAGCCCAAGTACTTGGGCTGCCATCTGCTGCTTTCCCAGGCCATTAGCAGGGAGCTGGATCAGAAGTGGAGCAGCCAGGACACAAACCAGCACCCCGTATGGGATGCCAGCACTGCAGACGGCAGCTGTACTCACTACGCTACAATGCCAGCCTCCCTCCACCCCCGCCTCTGTTCTTCCTTTCTTAAAAATGTCTTGGGTTTAACATCTGAATCCTGGGGCCAACGATGTGGTGTAGTGCGCTAAGCCTCCGCCTGCGGTGCCAGCATCCCATATGGGTGTCAGTTCTAGTCCTGGCTGCTCTACTTCCAATCCAGCTCTCTGCTGTGGCCTGGGAAAGCAGTAGAAGATGGCCCAAGGACTTGGGCCCCTGTACCCATATGGGAGACCCAGAGGAAGCTCCTGGCTCCTGGCTTCAGATCAGCTCAGCTCTGACCATTGCAGCCAATTGGGGAGTGAACCAGCAGATGGAAGACCTCTGTGTGTGTGTGTGTGTGTGTGTAACTCTTTCAAATAAATAAATAAATCCTAAAAATATATCTGGATCCTAAACTGCATCCTCCCCTTAGCTGCCCCAGGAGTTCCGTGTTTCGTAGGAGCGGTCTTCAAGCCCCCAGGAGTTGAACTGCTTGTCCCCAGCCCCAGCCTCGCTCATTTTAGTGAATACCAGGTGGCGTCCAGGCCCACAATAGAAACACAAGCGCCATGAAAAGCAGTGTGAAGATGGGCCAGAGATCTGGAGACAAACTGAGGGCCAGTGGCCAGCAGCTGGAAAGGTGCCAGAGGTAAACACCTGCCCTGCACTCAGACGAAACAGGCAAAATGGAAAAAGTGCTAAAAAGCCTGTGAGGAGTTAAACACAAAAAGCAGGGTAAAGCGGACTCGCCCTCTGCAGGGCCACACCCTAGGGCAGCGGCTCCAAGCGGAGAAAACCCAAAGACCCAAAGACTGCTTCCTTCCGGTGCTCAGCACTGGGCGCCGCGCCTTCTGGATACAAGGCACAGGTAAGAGCGGCTTCGGATCCTGGCCGGTCGCCTCCTCTCGAGACGAAGCTGATGTGTAGGCGGCATCTCTCTGGGGGCCCTGGCAGGATGTCCCGGACTCCTAGCAACCCCGCACCGCAGTGCCTGTGCCCAGGGGCCGCAGCCAGTTCTCTGCAGCACCGCACTCGCAGTTCTCTCCCAACTAGAGTTGGGCTTCGACTCAAAAACCGTGGTGCTGGGAAGTTGGTCCTGATACGGAATAAAGAGAGACCGACCACAGCTTTAAATCAGTTTATTGACACAGTTAACACAACACACTGGCCTCCCTGACACCCCCACCCCCTGTCCCAGTCTAGAGCTCTTCCCTGGCCTCTCCCCTTAGAACAAGCTGTTCAGTGAAAACTGAAAAGGGCGGGCCACCTCTGCTCCCCCACGTCCCAGGCACTACTCGGGACCTGGGCTGGGGGCCGTCGGCATTACACTCGGCCAGCCAGAGGCATCCAGTCCCTAACAACAGGTTCCCCCAGAGTTCCCAGGCCCTGAGTGGTGGTTCCTCCTCCTCTCTGGTCCTTGGGCCCTGGGCCACAGGAGCACCAACTCTTGGTGGTGACTGGAGAAGCTGAGTTGGGCCCAGCACCCCTGACAAGGCCCCGGTGGTGGGCGTGAGCTTCAATGCCCCTATTTTAAATGCACTGATAACATTAAACAGATTAAGCCAGCTTAACCAGATGCCAGAGGAACACTAAGCTGTGAAGAGGGAGCCGTCAGGCCCAAGTAGTCCGGGCCGGACACAGATGCACAGAGGAGCCCAGGCAGAGGTCAGAAAACACCTCAAGGACACTGCCCAGGGGTGGAGAAGCCTACACTCAGGGGCCCCTGGGGGACAAGAAGCAAAGAAAGGAAACAACGTTAAGTCTTCAAAACCAAAACAAAAAACAAAAAGAAAACCAACCGCGGGGGAACTGAGCCTGCCAGTGCTGCCCACCAGCCCCCAGGCCTGGCCCCCGGACCAGGACAGCCCCTCCCCTAGGCTAGACAGAGCACATCACACAGCGCAGTTAAAAAGCTTCTAATGCCAGTTCATAAACATCTTCATTTACTATGGTGATTACATGTGAATAATATGTTTATACTGTTCTTTATGGAAAACAATGTCAACGAGTCAACTCCGAGAACACAACAGGCGGCCCTCGCCCTGAGCCCTCAGCGTCTTTCCCTAGACAGCGAGGAGCCCTCTCCTCTGTCCCAGGGCTGCCTAACTTCCCCTCCTCCCCCACCGCGGCTCTCGGGCAAAGCATCCTCTGTGACCGCTAGTCCTCATCGGACAGATTCTGGTCCAGAGGGTACACCATGAACATAACATCCGGCCGGGCGGGGACACAGGGATGGCCTGGACGTACGATCTCAAAGCCCAAGAAGCTGAAGGTCTTCAGGAGCGGAGCTGCAGGACAGAGCGACAAAGGTGCTGATGAGACAGAGGGCAGGCGCGCAGAGGGGAGCCCGGCTGCGGGCAGACGCACAGCACCGGCCTTTATCCATCCCGGGGTGCCCCCCCCCCCCCGCAGCTTGCCGGGGTTCGCCCTGCCGCCTCACCTCTGTCCTCCCGGCCCTTCCTGAAGCAGATGAAGACGTAGTTCACTTTCATCTTCTCTTCAGCAAACTCGAGCAGTGCTAGCAATCTGCAGGAAGCACAAGCTGCTGGAGCCCGCTCCCAGCCTCCCCCCGAGAGGCTGCTCTGAGGCCGAGGGCCGGCACTGGAAGGCACTGGAAGGCGCCCGTGCGGGCGGCAAGTTCCCACTTGGAGACCCCAGGAGCCCTGCTTCAGGGGGAAGCGGTCCTCTCTCCTGTGACGGGTTCTTCAGCCGGGGGCAACACTGGCCACCTTCGGTCTGCCTGAGACCCGAACTGGCAATGTTTTCCATCTAGAAGTGGGCAGCGCTTCATTCCGCAACTCAGGGTAACCAAGCGCTCCTGCACTGCCCGCGGGAACAGCCCGCCGAGGAGCGCCCCGGCCCCAGCGCTGCCTACAAGTACTTCCGCAGGAGGCTGGGGCCGCCCAGGACCCCACGCTGGGACTGCTGCCGCCCTGGGCTCCGGAGGGCCTTGCCAGTCCGCCCAACTCCTGCACCACTGTAGGGGCTCGAGGGAAACTGGGTTTCCACTGGGGAGAGTGGACCACGGATGATTAAGTGTCAGGCATTTGGTTAATGTGACAATGATCTTTTAATTATAAGTCTGTTTTACTAGCTAAAAATAACCTGTTAGAAAATGCTATCCACTCGGGAAGTCTTGAGCTAGGGAGACGCCCCTACAAATCCGTTCCCCGTCAGCACAGACCCTCTGCGGTGGGACCTCTTCCCCCTGCCCCCAACACCTGCTCCTTACCCTTCTTTGCTCCCATCAGCTAATAATCCATCCGGGATTTCCACAAACAGGCTCTGGCTGGACAGGACTGCGTCCCAGGAAGAGACTTTCACTTCGGTGACCTCATACCGGAAATGGACGATGTGAGGTTTCCCCTCGTTCACAGGGAGGTCCTGGGTCACAGTGAGCTTCTCGTCCTGGGGAGGAAAGCCGCAGTAGACGAACCCACCGCTGCTTCCCGCCACGTCACCCGCCCCTCACCCAGGCGGCGCTGAGTGTGCCGGGGGCCAGGCCAGGCCAGGCCAGCACGCGTGAAAATGCCTCACTGGCGCTGTCCGAGAGCAGAATGCTGGGAGGGGGCGTATTCAGCAGTGCCCACCAGCAAGGTGCTGCCCTGTCACCTCCAGCATCGGTAACTCCGCGTGGACCCTAAGATCCAGGGCCTCCCAGCAGCTGACGCGGGGCTCCCAGGGTCCATGGCAGAGCTGACCCCAGCACAGGTCTCCCTGCCGGCAGAGCCCGCGCCTTCCCCCGTCCCTCTCTGAAGGGGGCGCAAACGAGAACACGCATGAGGACACGTGTGAGGACTTGGCCGCCGCTCTGCTGCAGCCTGCTCCGGGTGCACGTGCAGCCGTGCTCGCCGCCGGCACGATCAGGTTTTCGCTCGCTCGCCTACCCCACGGCAGTCCCGGGAGAAGGCAAGCCGACCCCGGGCCCCAGGCACAGACGAGCGCTGACACCCTCCTGCTGGTGCTCCGGAAAAGCCAGCTCGTGGCCTCGGTTGAGAGTCCTGCCCAGTCCCCGCCCCGGCCTGGCCTGAGTCCCAGGACTGAAGGCTGGGATGACCCCTCAGAGTCCTCCCTCCCCAGAGTCCTCCTTACCTTATATATTAGAGCTGAGAGAGAAGGATCCCTGCCACCCCCTCGCCCACCGGGGATCTTCGACAGTGGGTGAGGGGCATCAGGAGCACCACAGAGGCCCCGGAACAATGTGCCTGCAGCACTGGAGCTGGGGACAGTTACTCAAAGGCAAAATACTGCTGCAAGAGACAGAGACGGCGCGATGGTGAACGCCAAGACCCGAGGGCTTCACGCAAAACCCAGCCCCGTCCCTGCGCAGCTCTCCCCAAACAGGTGTTTTAAGAACACCACGACCCCGGTCTCCACAGCTTTCGCCTCCAGAACT